TGTGTGTGTGTTTGTCTGTGTTTGTCTGTGTGTGTGTCTGTGTGTGTTGCTGTTGATCAATCCGGTTTATTGATGTGTTAAAGTGATCAGTATCATTAACAGAGAGCAGCTTCAGGAAACAGCTGATAGATATTTAAAACAGAAGTCAATATTGAGAGAGATCATCCAGCAGACTGGAATCATCCAGAAGAGGCTCTGAGATATAACTCTGAACGTTAGCCCTGCAGCTACACAATCATACACTTCACATTAATAATACTTTTATAGTAAGGGAATATTGTGAAAATCTGGGAATAAATTGCTTACCAACCAATTTCTACACCAATGTGTTTCTAAAGGTGTCTAGTTACACATATAAAATGATTTAAATTCAACTCCTGTAGGAAAATCCGTGAGAGCTACTGAAAGATTTTTTTTTACATGTGCCTTAAATAGCATGTGAGGGGTCAAATTAGGGGTTTAATTGGGATGCTGAATCCATTACAAGCATTTATTTTGCACCAAAGCCACTCCTTGGTAGAGAAACGGCCACGCCCACTTTTCCCACTCTTTTGAAAACCCTTTGTTTAGGTGAAAATCAATGTTGCTTGTTGCCTGTGAATTATAAAGTATCTTCATAGGTCTATTTATGAATGTATTAGTGATGGTAACTACCTTTTATTAACTGTTAAATGTTGCAGTTGGTTAACATTTGTAGTAAGAGAGTGAGTTTTGAGTGGCAGGTGCCAGACGTGCTCATTCTGTGGATCATGGACAGACACAATAGAGTCCACACATATCAAAGTAATTCATGTAACATTGCTACTTAATGTTTTACTGCCCTCAACAGAGTCATCTGTAGCAGCAGCCAATGCCGCTCTCACAATCAAAGTGTCCGTATCATTGTCACACTGCTCCACAGTGATCTGATGTTTCCGGAACGTTGAAGAGAGGAGATGGATAAGCACACACTTGTTATGAATGTTGTTCAATAACTTTGCCCTTGGTGTCAAATGTATCATATCTGGTCAAATCTGTAGATTACAGCATGAGTTCTTGGTACGCTGAATGTAGTCATGATCTTTTGGCGAGCTACTATAGCCATCAAAGACCACAATGATCTTCTGGGAGCGACTGCCAAGACACTGCACAAACCTCAGGTAACTGCCTGCAATCTCCTGCCAAGTCTGACCTTATTCCCACTTTGCCAAGTAGAGAAGCCATCCTCCATCAACCACCAGACTGGAGCAGGGTTGGTCTGTGAGGTCAAGCGGATCAGCCAAGTCTTTCAGGCTTGTTTTGGAAAAGCCTGCTTTGTTCGCCTTGTTAATTTTTTTACCTTTTTTGTTGAACAATGACAAGGGGAAGGGAGTCAGCTCATACTCTAAGCTTGTCTCAACTGTCATATCCTGTTGGGCAAAGATTATCGGTCAGGTGAACAACTTGAGTGAGTTTAGGTAAACCTTCTTGTCTTTGACTTGGGGAATATTTCTCAGTGATGACAGGGCCTGCACCTTGAACTTCACCTCCATGGTCGATGTTACTGACTGTCCATCCAGCTTTATCTGCATCTACCTCCCAACTTCTGCTCTCTCAGCGTTGACTGTGTCACCCGCAGTGCTCAAGAATCCTGTTGAGAAGGACACAAGTAACTTGATCGTGGTCAAATGGGTTGGTCTCCTCAAACCTTTTGAGGGTAAGTTCAACTGCTTCAGCGTCTCGCTTCATCAGTGTTCTGGAAAGGTCTTTGTGGAGTTGATTGTGTTTCTTGACACCTTCCGTCATGCGCTGGTTGACATCGGAGAAGTAGTTGAGGGTCTGCACCCAGCACTTGTGGCCTGAATCACTATTTCTCATCCTCCCTCTGCTTAACCCACCATCTGACTTGGCCGCCTTCATCAGTTTCAATACAACCCACCCAACCTTGAAATGATGGGTAGATTCACCTGCTTTATGATATCCTACCTTGAGTCAGATGGGGAGATCGAAGATCACTATGATGACTTTGTCCCTGGAGATACGCATGCACTCTTTGAGAGTGGTGAAGATGGTCTTGTGGTCATTAGGGTCACATTCAAGGAGTGTTCCCATAAATTTAAACAATGTTCAAATCTATATTGTCTCCGACAAACTTAGTGAGTGAGCAGATTGACATCCATGATGTTCGTCTGATTGTAACTTTGTATTTCACTTTTACCAGCTGTCGTTACTAATAAACCCCCAAGTTGGATGTCAACCTCAATCTCATCATCTATCTGATTGTCGGTTTCTTCAACAATGGTACCAAGAGCGCCAGAAGCATCAGAGATGCCCACTCCACATTGAGGAAGCCGTATTTGTAGTTTTGTATTTCTGCACAAGACTGTGTACCCTAACCGGTGTAACTTGTTGAGCATCCACTTTGACCCAAATCTATAATCCAGTTGTATGGCAAGCCCCATCATGTACGGCAATACCCCTGACCGAGGCCAAAAGGCCTTTGCTACTCTTTCATCCGTCCTCACTATAGGTTTCAACAACATCTGAAAGCTCTCAGGAACAAGTGCCAGCTGAATAGGGATATCAGTCATACTGTGTGCAGTTGGGTATGACTTTGGATCTATATCAATAGTGGTGATGTCATTGCAAATTAACTTTAGTGCAGTCTTTAAGATTTGAGTCTTCTCATTTCCAAACAATGTCAGCATGTTGCTCTCGAAAGATGTTGCTGGTCTTATCTTTAAAACAGTGAACATCTGCTCTCCCCTTCTGTGATTTGAAATACAGTGTATCCTGGCATTTCTCTAGGAGCTTCTGCTTCAGCCACTTCTTTGAATATGAGAGACTCTTATCAAACTGCTGCATTTTTATGTGGACTTGGTCAAGTGTCATAATCCCATGCTCGAGTTCCAGGTCTAACCATTCACAGAGCTCATAAAACACAGCGTCTCGCTCCTCATCAGTTTTCCTTCCTACATCTTTTGTCTTGGAGTAATAACCATCTGTCTCGAAAAAGTACTTTGCAGCGCAAATGATACAAGGTTTCCTCTGTACCAAGTCATTGATCCCTTCTAGGCGGTCAATGACTTCAGTGCTCTATTTGTCCATGTGCTGTCTTCAGCAAGCTTGTCTTCAGTCCATCTGCAGTCAAATTGTCAGGGACTCTGTTTCTTTTTCTAGTCGTCTCTGGATTTTTTGGGAAGATATGAGTGGAGTGGTTGCAAAGAATGCGAACATCCTTGTGCAAAAGCTGAACTAAATGTGAACTAGATGCAGGAAACGCACTAAATCCAGAGCAAATGTGTCGTCTCTTTGTCTGTGCTGACTCTTTCTGCGCCTCTGCTGCACAAGTTGACTGTGTGGTGACCTGGACAGACTTGTTGTACAAATCAGGTTTACACTCTATGTGGTATCTAAGTCTTCCAACTCTCTGTGCCTCCTTCATGTGCTCAAAAATTGTAGTATTTTCAATTGCTTCTACTTGCTAACAGAGTTTGGTAGCCTTCAGCTTTTGCCTGTGCAAGATTGTGAACTAGCATATCTCGGCCTTCACAGGTGAAACAAGTGAGCAGAGGTGCAGGGTTAACATAGACATCCATACTGCTAGACTGTAATGCCCTACAAAGAAATAAGTAGAATCTTAATTTAAAAAAAAAAATCAGATATCATTCTTGTGACATGCAAGACATCCTTTGTCATGTGGACAGATATCTTCTCTACTATGTTGTATTTTGAAGCAAATAGGGGGTCAGATGTACAGTTACTGCAAAAAGACCTTGAGAAACCAAAACAAACCACTGACGACAGCTAGCTAATGTTAGCATGAGGCAGTCAGCTATCATTCAAGTAAGTAAAATAGTAATCAGATGCACTTGGGGTGTGTGGATGTTAGCTAACTACCTAGTATTTGCTAGCTATAAGCTAGTTTGATGACAGTACACTCCTTATAGTATTAATCAATGTAGTGACATTCAATATTTACAGTTGTAAATAATGTAAGTAATATGTACATATCAGAGTTAAAATCATCTTGCAATATCTCTTTGACCGGTGAATATTATTTGTTATGTGTGGACTCTATTGTGTCTGTCCATGATCCACAGAATGAGCACGTCTGGGACCTGCCACTCAAAACTCACTCACTTGCAAATGTTAACCAACTGCAACATTTAACAGTTAATAAAAGGTAGTTACCGTCACTAATACATTTATAAATAGACCTATGAAGATACTTTATAATTCACATGCAACATGCAACATTGATTTTCACCTAAAGAAAGGGTTTTCAAGAGATCTGGAAAAGTGGGCGTGGCCGTTTCTCTACCAAGGAGTGGTTTTGGTGCAAAATAAATGCTTGCAATGGATTCAGCATCCCAAATAACCCCGAATTTAACCCCTCATATGCTATTTAAGGCACATGTAAAAAAAAATCAAAAATTTCAAATTTTCAACCAATAGGGTTCCAGGTACCCGAAGTTTCAGCAGCTCTCACGGATTTTCCTACAGGAGTTGAATTTAAATATTTTTATATGTGTAACTAGACACCTTTAGAAACACATTGGTGTAGAAATTGGTTGGTAAGGAATTTATTCCCAGATTGGCCATGTATCTGATAAAATTCCATTACTATTAGGATTCATTCACTTAAAGGTGGAGTCGAAAGAAATGTTTGTAAACATTCAAACTGGGCCCCTCCCCCAGAAGCTCCGCCCCCTGCAGGACGTAGTGTGTAGGTTTACTGCTTGTAGCTACACCGCTAGCTCAAGCTAACCGCTGGTGTTTGTCACCTGCCTGTCCAACAGGAAGCAGACCAGCTCCACGGGTAAAGGAGAAGGAGGATGAGGAAAGGGAGGAGGAGGAGGAGGAGGAGGAGGAGGAGGAGGTAGGAAGAGGAGGAGGAGGAGGAGGAGGATGAGGAACAGGTGGAAGAGGAGGAGAGAGGAAGAAGAGGAGGAGGAGGAAGAAGAGGAGGAGGAGGAGGAGGAGGAGAGAGGAGGAAGAGGAGGAGGAGACCTCTGTCTGACTTGTTAAACATCACTGACCTGTTCTCAGCTGCCTGAAGGTGTTGTTGAGGTATTCCAGGTGGAGCAGCAGCGGCAGACATCCTACTCCCAGCAGGAAGAGGAACCAGAGGAAGAAGTTAGGGGACCTCATCACTGGGACACACTGCAGAGACCTCAGGAGTCTGTCACACCTGTAGAGACCTCAGGAGTCTGTCACACCTGTAGAGACCTCAGGACTCTGTCACACCTGTAGAGACCTCAGGAGTCTGTCACACCTGTAGAGACCTCAGGACTCTGTCACACCTGTAGAGACCTCAGGAGTCTGTCACACCTGTAGAGACCTCAGGACTCTGTCACACCTGTAGAGACCTCAGGACTCGGTCAGTCCTGTAGAGACCTCAGGAGTCTGTCACACCTGTAGAGACCTCAGGACTCGGTCACACCTGTAGAGACCTCAGGACTCTGTCACACCTGTAGAGACCTCAGGACTCGGTCAGTCCTGTAGAGACCTCAGGAGTCTGTCACACCTGTAGAGACCTCAGGACTCGGTCACACCTGTAGAGACCTCAGGACTCTGTCACACCTGTAGAGACCTCAGGAGTCGGTCGGTCCTGCAGAGACCTCAGGAGTCGGTCGGTCCAGTAGAGACCTCAGGAGTCGGTCGGTCCTGCAGAGACCTCAGGACTCGGTCGGTCCAGTAGAGACCTCAGGAGTCGGTCGGTCCTGCAGAGACCTCAGGACTCGGTCGGTCCTGCAGAGACCTCAGGAGTCGGTCGGTCCAGTAGAGACCTCAGGAGTCGGTCGGTCCAGTAGAGACCTCAGGACTCGGTCGGTCCTGTAGAGACCTCAGGACTCGGTCAGTCCTGTAGAGATCTCAGGAGTCGGTCAGTCCTGTAGAGACCTCAGGAGTTGGTCAGTCCTGCAGAGACCTCAGGAGTCGGTCAGTCCAGTAGAGACCTCAGGACTCGGTCAGTCCTGCATCAACCAGCCTGAATAAGAAACAGAAGAAGAGATGAAATGTTTATGAAACATGTGAACATGTCAGACTTCACAGCGTGAAGGGAACAGAAATCAAACTGTAGTTTCATAAAATGTTCATCTGATATTTAATCTGCAGGTCTTGTTTATGTGAAACAAACTGTGACATCATATCTGCTCCTGATGATGAACATGCAGTGTGTGTGTGTGTGTGTGTGTGTGTGTGTGTTTGTTTTATGACTCTCTGAACATCCTGCTGACTGCACACTTTCTGCTCCCATGAGCCTTTGCAGGAACATCTGTTCCTCCAGAGTGCTTCCCTCAGCAGGTGTGACTCCACTGTTAGAATGTAAATAAAGCAGGCAGGTACACAGTCACACACACACACACACACACACACACACACACACACAGTCACACACACACACACACACACACACACACACACACACACTGTGTACGCACCTCTATACTTGTGAGGACCCTTACTGTCAGCCGGGGCAAAGTGAGTATTCCCACACCTGCCCGCCGCCTCTGACCCTGAGCAAACCTCATTAAAGGAGAGAACCTGTTTCTAAATGTTTGCTTTCAGAAGCAGTGCTGTGCGTTGAGGTTCGTAGGGCTCCGCCTCCTGCACCTTTTTCCCGCCCAGAAAGGTCACAGTCTGCATTGCCAAGTATAAGCACGTCCAGTCCACCGCCTTATCATTCTCCCATCCCCTATGCCTCGCCCTGTGGATGGTGGGCCTACAGGACGCTGGCTTCATGTCGTCTCTGAGCCCAACCGGGCCACCATGGAGGTTGCTGAATCATGTGTAGTCTGGTCCCCCAGGACCAATCTGCCATCAGAGGCCCTACCAGGGTACAGTGCCCCCGACATCACAGCTCCTGGGTCACCGGGACACGCATTAAGATGGGGATTCTTGGAGGGGAGGGGCTTATCCCGGTTTCTCAGATCAGGATATGATGTTTACATTCACAAACACAAAACCAAGATACTTAAAAACTGGATCAAGACCAGGACACTCGAGTCCACGTAAAGGCCCTGACTGATCGATGATTAGAGTGTGTGTGTGTGTGTGTGTGTGTGTGTGTGTGTGTGTGTGTGTGTGTGTGTGTGTGTGTGTCGGAGGAGGATCAGATTTCAAACTGATCTCATGTTGACCTTTGACCTCCGGGGGGGGGGGGGGGGGTCTCTTTGATCAGTCTAAGCATGTGCGAGATGTGGATCACCGTGACAGATGGAGTTCTGAACACAGATCAATAAGTGTCTGCAGCTCGCCATGTGCTGGCTCCGCCCCCACATCATCAGCGCTCTGAGTCAGTAAACAACCTCTTACATCGAGGCGTCAGACGTGTTCAGTACAAGGGGCAACCTCCGGTCTCGAAAAATGAAGCCTATGCGGAAGTACAAAAAACTGCAGTTCGTCGAGTGTCCGCTTGAGACTGACTGCAGAAGCGCCGGAAGTGCCATAAGCCCTCAGCCAAAAAAGCCCGTTTTTACCACAGGAATCAACATGTTTACAGCCTGGTTCAAAAAACGAGATATATCTGAGAAGTTGACGGCCCCTTCTCCTCACACTGTGGGGGGGGGAATTTTTTTATAACTCATCGGATTTTATTCTATTAAGGAAAACAGCTATGCCCATATTAGGGATGTGGCAGATTTGATTGACAGCTCTACGCGCTGCATCTGTCTGTCAGGTCAGCAGGTCAGGAGGCTAACAGCTTGATCCGTCTGATTTCTCCTCTTTTTTACTTCGTTTGGAGAGTTTGTTTAACACATATCTGACAACATACACGGCTTGCTGTGCGGTTAACAGACCATCCAAGAAGTTGATGCTTCAGTTTTTTTCGGTAAGTGATATAGTAGTGTTATACTTACTGCTTACTCATGTGTCGGTATTTATATTTACGGACCTAGCTTGTTTAGCGTTAGCTTGTAAACCAGTCGACTAACTGTACTCAGTGTAGGCCATTATTTACATTATTTACGGTCAATGGTTTAGAAATGTTTGTTGTTAAGATGTTGTAAGACAGAGTTTGTGTGATGTTAGAAGCTAAAGGTTCACCTCGGTGGTTAACCACAGACTGTAAATATGGTTATCTGACGTTATGATGAATGTTATACTCAAAGGTGTTACTCAAAATGTTATACTTAAAAAACAAACTTTGTGTAGTAATTATCCGTCAGTAACATAAACTGAACTCAACCTAATATGCTGTGTAGGTTATAGAGGATGACATTAATGTTACATGGTTGATGTAGTGTCTTAAGATTTGAGCAAACTGTTAACAAATTTTAAAAAATGCACTTTGTAAGAGCATCTGTAACCATTAATAACCATATTAATTTTCACTGAACTCATACACAGAATATAGCAGTAGAAATATAAAATATAAATAACATGTGGAATGAAAATAAGATAAAGCACATAGATATAAAGTATAAGAAATAGTTTGAAGAATACAGCCATGTACTGAGCTCATGTTAATAATAAATGAGTTACTGTATGTTCTGTACTAAAGCACAGAGACTGTTAATGATTTAAATCATTCAGGTAATATTTGTTTCATGTAAAGATGAAGTACTATCCACAATAAATTGCTTAATGTTTCCTCACCCAAAATCTGAGACAATTTGATGTGAAATATCATTGTGCAAGTGAGTGAGAGAGCTAAAAACAGCATGATTACAATAAGGTTTATCTTCTTAACTTTGAATAGATGTTGATTACCTGAATACTGTACCTTTGTTGTCTGGGTAGTACACTGCTGAATTTATAAGTGTACTCTTACGCACAGATGAATACAGAAAAATAGATGAGAACAAAAAAATGATTGAATGAATAACTGATATTTTCTCTCTTTCTTTGCCATCCTGAAGACCTCTCACTAAAAGTCCATGTTCTCCTGGATCCATGTCACATGCTCGAGCTTCTTCTGAATGACATTTCAATAGTCGAAGTTTTGCTGAGAGAAGATGGCCAGCAGATAAGACAGCAGTACATCAAGGAGCTCCACAAGCTTCAGGAGGAGGGGGAGGGTTTGCACCTTGGAAGACTGTATTCATGCTGTTCAAATAAAAATAGATCTCCTCCAAACAACTTGCAATCAAACTGTTTTCTTCCCATTTTAAAACCCTTTGTCCAGTTTAGATGGGAGAAGTTGATATTATGTGATATTGATCTGGGAAGACTACATTTCTAAATCATTTTTAACTGTGTTTTTTTCACAAGTTATTGACCTTATTTACTCTCGATGTATCTTGATTTAAGAATGGGGCTGTGTTTAAGGTCATCATTTTGCAATGACTCTGTTCCATCCCACTTTAAGAAATGAACTGCATTAGTATTCATCAAAAGAATAAAAAGTTGTGTAAAAGTAGACTTCCTTCCCTAAGCTACTGAGTTGAGCATTAATGCACATTTTAGTCTTGTCATTTCAAATCTGAAATGTATACTCATAAGTAGACATAAAGGAGTGCATTTATATAGAAATATTTATTTAATCTGAAAAACAACATTAAAAAAAGTCTGTTTTTACAGCAGAGATGAACATGTTTACAGTTTGGTACAAAACAAACAAATAGGTGTGATTAGCTCATGTCTCGATCAGCACACACTGTACGAGGGGGGGGGGTGAATGTTTTGATGACTCATCAGTTTTGATTTGATGAAGGATAAGAGTTATTCACAATAAGGCGTGTAGCTGACCAGCTTGACAGGTGGGCGCGGTGTAACGGTTTGTCAGGAGGCTTAAAACACGCCTCAGCTCTCAGCCTGTGGGTGACATCACTCAGGCCATCCGGGGGAGACCTCCCTCACAGCGAGCTGTTGTAGAGAAGCAACCGAAGTCCACCCCAGAAGAACCAACAAATACAGATGTTGTTGAGGCTCAGGTTTCTTCCTCTGTCTCTGCAGCTCTCTGGGCACCTCGACGGACAAGTCACCAATAATCCACACTGTGTCTATAGGAGAAATACAAAGGTGTTCAATTAATGCCTCAGACAAGACAAAATGTACAGTTAACTACATGTGACAGCTCAGGGTGTTTTTTTGTTATGAGCCACATCTGCAGGAATAATATTGAACAAGGTAGCTGCAGCTCATAATAATAGATGCCAGTCTTGAACACTATTTTTTCTAATACTTAAAGTTTTTGGTGTGAAGCTGACACTGGCCACAGACTCCATGACTTCACAGGTTCAATAGAAAACAAATGTCTTATAATAAATACTAAATATTTATTTTTCAATTGTCATGTTCACCTCATCGCTGTTGACATCAGTAAATATAAGACACAGACATTCCTCTTTTTGTCAGAACAGTAACATGAACTGTATGCTTTGTAATATTGATTTCTTCTGGATGTCTCATATTATTTACAGTTTATGGATAAAACTTTGTTAATGTATTTCTCTGCTAACACTGACAAAGTCTAACTGCTCTGACAAATAACTAATAACCATAGTTGTATATTTAAAAAAGTGTAGTTTTAAGACTTTAATTAAATATTTGGGTTGAATATAATTCGTTTTAACTGTGTTGTAGAAAAGTTAAATGTTAACTTACTGTTTATAGCGATAACTCCGGACGAGCAGGAATAGGGATGATAGCAGCCTAGCCGTTAGCTATGCTGTCAAGTGGACTGCTAACGTCGAGCTGAATGGGCGGAGTTAAGTCCCGCCGGTCCCGCCTTACTGCTGTTGCTTGGTTGATCCGAAGTTAGGTTGAGACTGCAAATCCAATATGGATGCGGCCGTCGATTGGACTCATTTTCTGCCTATGTAACAGACGGGTCAGGGTTCGTCCAGTAATATTTACAGTCTATGGTCCAGTATTTACACTCTGATCTCCTGATGTGTGGGGAGTGCTCCGAGGACAGCCGCGCACCCTCTCTGTGGATTGGCTTCAGTTTGTACAATGCATTATGGGGCGGATTAGCTTTTGTACGTCCATGTTTCATACAGTCTGATCAGATCTCTAAATGAGCGAGTTTCATACGAAGCATTAGGCCGTCATCAATCCTTCCACTGCTCAGTGTGTGTGTGTGTGTCTCTGTGTGTGTGTTTGAGACTGTGTCGCTGTGTGTGTGTGTGTGTGTGTGTGTGTGTGTGTGTGTGTGTGTGTGTGTGTGTGTGTGTGTGTGTGTGTGTGTGTGTGTGTGTGTGAGACTGTGTGTGTGTGTGTGTGTGTGTGTGTGTGTGTGTGTGTGTGTGTGTGTGTGTGTGTGTGTGAGAGACTGTGTGTGTAAATGGTAAATGAATTTGAGCTAATATAATGCTTTTGTAGTCTTCAGACTACTCAAAGCCCTTTTACACTGCATGTCACATCTACCTATTCACACCCATGGTAGAGGTCGCTATCCATCAAAAGTAACTAATCCCATTCATACACCACCACCGAGGCAGCAAACAATTCGGGGTTAGCAATTCGGGGTTAAGTGTCTTGCCCAAGGACACTTCGGACATGTTGCCCAGCAGGGGATCGAACCCTCGACCTACCAACTGAGCCACATCCGCCCCTTGTGTGTGTGTGTGTGTGTGTGTGAGACTGTGTGTGTGAGAGAGACTCTGTGTGAGACTGTGTGAGTGTGTGTGTGTGTGTCTCTGTGTGTGTCTGCGTGTGTGTGTGTGTGTGAGACTGTGTGTGTGTGTGTGTCTCTGTATGTGTGTGTGTGTGTGTGTGTGTGTGTGTGTGTGTGTGTGTGTTATAAGGTTCTATTTTTAGCAGCGAGGAGACAAATAATTCAGAGCGATCACAGAGCGGCTCGCTCACCTCCTCTCTGACGGAGGAGACCAAACCAAGCATGAGCTCACCCCACCCCCCCTCCTAAGATTCGTCTCAGAGATCACCAAACCCAGCTCCAAACTGTACTGCAGGCTTTCCCGACCTCAGGGTCGTGACCCCACATGGGGTCGCCTTAAACTTGTATTTCTATAAACAATATTTTGGATATTATAATATATTGAACACAGGCTGCTGCAGAGTCTCTATCTGTCACACATTCATCCTCTGTCCTTAATAATAAACACTCAAACTCCTAAATGTGCTCCAACATGAATGTTTACTTCTTTTGACCAGACATTCTTCTAACCTCTCTCTATTTTTCAAAAGCATCTTCAATATTGATCCTAGTTTGAGCACGTTTCTGCTCGTGGAGCTTATTAGAAACATGCAGAGGCTTTTTAGGTCGGGTACAATCACTTCTATCTGAACCAGTTCTCTTGCCCGCTTCCTTTTCTGCAACACCTGTTGGTTTGACCTGATAACTGCTCTCATATCTGGCAAACCGAGTGGCATCCAAAACGGCCAAGTGGGGGTTCCTTAAAACCGCCTACCTTCTCTGGTCCAAACAAATCCAGAGCATTCAGGACCAGAATCTAAAGTTAGAAGGAGGACATACTGGCTGCTGCATTGTTGTCAGAGAAGCCAGCACTTCAACATAGCATGTTTCCTTAATGTCTGATCATATAGTAAGCTCACTTTATCATTTCATTCACTACACATCTTACTGATTGGACCTTTAATGTCAGATAATTGGACTTTATAAAGTTGGACCCCTTTCAGAATGGTGGGGTTCGAAATAAGAAACTCTTATTGCCAACACATGCAACACATCAACATTTTTGCGCTTATGAAATGTTTTTCTGCAATTTAACAAATATTTAGAATTTCACTAAATATTTTTTGCATTTTCTTATTTCTTGGGGGATTTAGTAAATATTTGTGCAGTTGACCTTCAGGGCCACCGTATTCTCATGTTAGATTGTTGATATGAGCTTCAGAAATGTCACATAAAATCAACTACAAACTTTGTGCGTACACGCACACATGCGCATGCCCGCATACTCATTATTTGAATCTCACTCTGCCCGTTACCCGAGAAAGTTAACTTAAATACCCCCCGGTCCACTGTGGTCTGCTGCTGCTCACACTCACCTGCGCCCGGACCCGCGTGGTCGCTGTCAGCGGTGAAACAGTCACTGCACGGTGAACCTGCAGGTGTGTGTGCTTGTCCGGTGAATAGTCCGGTTAGTGAGTTTATTAGAGAGCGAGGGAGAGAGAGAGCGAGAGAGAGGGAGAGGGATGAGAGCGAGGGAGAGAGAGAGAGTCAAGTTACCTGAGGAGAAGAGGCACACACCGGATGTTTAAAGGATGAACCTTCACAATAAAAGTTTGTCTTTCCAACATTTTAAAATAACCTCTCTTGTTGTTGTCTATCCTTTGTCCTCTGACATCACATTGCAGCGTCGGTCTGTAGTCTGGTGTTTTTGTTTTTCATACTTCCATCATCTCATTGATTCTACAGGAATCTACAGGCACACGGACGCCCCCGTGTGGTCTCTTTGGGTAATATCACACACAAGGTGCAGATGAAAAGCTGCAGTTTAAGTACAACAGTAATAAATAAAGAAGTCAATAAATGAATAACCGAGACACACTGAACATCACATTGTAATTCAAAGAGTGTACAGACCACGTAGAGAAAATACAAAGACGTTTCATTCTGAGTGACGACAACAAGGTCCAACAGCCTGATAGAAGAGCGGATGAAAGATTTGGAATAGTGGTTTGTTTTTCTGAGGGGGACTACAAAGCGGCGGCCTGAGGGCGTTACCTCAGAAGACGGGACGTGGTCACGTTGAGACATTATTCTCTTAGCTCTCTCCTACAGAGGACACAAGTCTCTCTGCCGGACTCTAACCTTTACAAAACTGTGCAGGCAGTTTAACTATGCTTTAACAAGCTTTAACTATGAGCTTCTTTGTTTTCGACATGTTAAGGTCGAGGAAGTTTTCATCACACCAGTTAACAAATGCAGGTAGGGCGCTACCGGGGTCTGACCCTGAGCCTTGAAGAAGAGAGAACAGTGCAGTCTCATCAGAAGGAAGCAACCTTCTTTACTGGTTTAAAAGAATGAGCCACCATACTTTGGAGCCCTCTGTTGGTTCTGGCGGGCCGAGCCACCTCTTTCTCAACATCCCTCACATGACATCACACGGTGCAAACTACCTGCAGCGTCTGGGACAATACGACCCTGACAGCATAACCAAGAGGCTGAACACCTACACCAAGGTGCTGTTTGTTAGGGATCCTTTTGAGCGGCTGGTGTCAGCATATCGAGACAAGTTTGAGAATTAAAACGATTACTTTCTCTGTTTGGACGGCCCATCATCTCCAGGTACCGCGCCAACCCGTCACAAGAAGCCCTGCGCACAGGTGATGGCGTCACCTTCAGGGAGTTTGTGCACTACCTGCTGGCCCCGCAACGTCCAGTGGTGAATGACATCCACTGGGAAAAGATGAGCACTCTGTGTCCACCTTGTGTGATCCACTATGACTTCAGCAAGTTTGAGAACATGAACAGTGAAGCCAACTTCCTGCTGCGGAGCATCGGAGCACCACAGAACCTCAGCTACCCCGACTATAAGGACAGAAACCCTGAGGACCATGAAGAAATATTTCTCCCAGCTGAACGCCACTGAGAGGCAGGGAGTCTATGACTTCTACCGCATCGACTATGAGATGTTTGACTTCCCCAAACCCCTCCCAGACCTGCACTGAGGGGACGGGGCTCTTAAAGACTTGCCACTCACTCCTTCTGCAGCAACATGGTACAATGTTTGCCCCTCTCACACAAATAAACCCCTATGTGCTGCAGGCGGTGTATGGGACATACATGCAGCTCTAAAGACAGACACCAGACCTCAATAGGTCAGTTTTACAAAATCAATACACAGAATAGTTTCTAAATATTTTTATTCATAACATGTATTTTACAAAGTCAGAAATTATTATCAGAAGTGTTGCAACACCTGTGTGATTCATTATCTTTGCTTTGGAGTATATCAAATTATTCTCATTTAGGACAAAGCCTGCAAAAAGGCTTACCATTTTTTTTTATATTCATTTTTCACAGTTCCTACAGACACCTGGCGTCCATGTGAAGATTGCAACCAGGCAGTTCACAGCAGTCTGAAGTGTATTCACTTGGGGTGACAGGAACTTAATGCCTGCAAAAAAAAGTGTGTCAATGTAGCCTTCAGTGTACAGATAAATTAGAGTTATAACACAATTTTCCATAGATTAATAATGATGCCTGTCATATTTCTAAAAACAAATTACCTGAAGTAGGATGACTCTTCAGTGGGCAGTGAAGTCCCCATGTATATATTAAGATACACAATAATATTTATATTTACTTTTTATTTTTATTAATATTATAGTTTTGGGTTTTTTGATCCTTTAACCACTTGTTTTTATTTCTTTTACTGCTCTTACCTTCTTATTGCGTTTTATTTGCTTTTATCTCTTAGTTTCTTACATCTTTTAAATCTTTGGTCCTCTTGGTCTCAGCTCGTGTTGTTGGGTTCTTGTGTTGCCTGGGTTCTTATGATGGTTCTTGTGATGGTCGGTTTATATATGTCTGGTTGTGTATCGTGCACTTTGGGTTCTTTTCTGTTGAATTGTATTTAATTATTCTTAGTATTTTGCATCTGTTATATTCTTACTGTTGTTAATGTTCTTCTGTGTTTGGTTTAGTTTGCTTTGTTCTTGCTGTTTGTCAAAGCACTTTGTAAACCTGTGTTTTTAAAAGGTGCTATGTAAATAAAGTTATTATTATTATTATTATTATTATTATTATTAGAGTATCTGAGTTGAGACTCTTCTGACTGTGGTGGAGCTCGCCCTTGGACCATCAGGGATTGCTAGAGCCTCAGGAACAGCCATGAAAGTGCCAGTCTCACATGACACACTTCTGTTAGGAGTCCAAGACTGAGGAGCTGTGCATAGAGAGAGGGGTTCTAGATTAATGTTTTTACAAATGAGCAGCAAACCGATCACCTCTGGTCAGTTTAGGCTGAAACAGAACATATGCTATATCACCATTCTACTTTATCCCAGCTATTGTTTGGATAATACTCATGCTTATTAACAGGATTATTAACACTTAGAGTATTAACAGCAGCTCATACCCACTTCAACCTTTTTTACACTTCAATAGACAGCGAATATAAAGTTCACAAGTTGCCTACGACCACTTTATGGTTTTATAGTTTTTAATAAACAGAGCAGTGAGGGACCGGTGACGAGAGGATCTGCGGAGCTATGAGAGCACTTGAGCTATATATATTTTTTAAAAGTACATTTCAAGAAAACCCTGATATACTGTTAAGTAAATAAACTTTGTGGGGAGCAGTTTTAATTTGTGAGCAAAGGAGCTGGGCAGCGCGTCTCTAGTTGAACTTCAATTTATTTGATTACGTCTAGACCTCTCACAAACCCCTCTGTGTGTGCGCAAAGATGAAAAACGACCTGCTGTGACTCGTATTACCCTGCACTAAGTATGATAAACATCTTACGTACAATTATAGTACACGAACATATCCCTTAAAATGGGGGAAACATAAGTGTAAACTTTCTCACGAGCTGATGGTTAAATTGTACATTGTGCTCGCATCCATGGTACAGGCTAATGTTACCAGCCAAGCATATTAACCAGCTCTCCTGAAAAACGTGACAGCACGGCCTAATTATTTGACTGTAGGCCTACATTAACAGATATTCTGTTATTTATTGGAGTTCAGCACACAATCCGCAGCAAGCAGCTGTACATTTACATTTTTAAAACGGAGCCAGGAGAAGCTTCAGTTTTGATGCATGTACGGACAGCGGAATTTATCGCTCCCCCTCCCTCTATCTCTCTCTCTGTAGCTCTGAAGCTGATGTGATTCTGCTCTCTTTTGCTGTCTTAACACTCCGCAGGAGTCGAGAGGGATTTAAAAAAAAGGCAGTTTTGCTATGTTGAACGCAGAGACTTAACAGCGGATCTGGTTGCATGGAGCCTGCGGAATGCGTGCCTGCGCGCGTTCTCTCTCTGGCACGCAGCAATTTCATGAATTAATGAAAAATTCAATAAGAACAGGTCAGAAATATACTTGGGCCCAGGTATCGTCTATTAGTGGGAAACACTGGAGACTAAATATTCTCAAACAGGTTGTTAGTATAAAGTTGTCATTTTTATTGTTCTGCACTTTTTTTTGATTTGGGCAAATTTCAGTGTTGTGTGGAGTTTAAGTGCCAGTTCTAGTGCTAGCCCCTAGTAGGCCTACAGCGTGGCTGCCAACAGAAAATAATAAATAATATTCTTTTTATGAATATATTTGCCTCCTGCATTAAATGTGTGTACAAATAGGCCTACAGTGTATTTTAACATCTACCATAATGGTGGTACTTGGAGAGCCAAATATTTTCGGAGGTGGTACACAATCTAAAATGTTTGAGAACCACTGCACTAAATTAATCTATACTAACAGCACAATCCAACTACTAAACCACTAAGCTATTGATCGCGCAGCTCTCTCAATCCACTTGACTCCCGACAGTTTGCCGTGTCAAGTGACGAGGCTTTCATAGGTTTGGTGACGTAGGCATTCACTCCACACAGCCGTTAGAATTTTTCAAACGGAAGGGCGGACACTAGGCACACTTCTAACACAGTATTTCAAATTTCAATACTTTGTACTCAAATGTCGAGATTTGGACTTGAATTGATCCATAACACTACTTAATACTCAAGTACAGAGGTTTTGTCACAAACGGTTTGAAAACAAGGAGGTGTGGACCCAAGTGAATAATTAACTAAACTATTTATTTTAACAAAAACTTACTTCAACAAAAACACAGGGATCAAAAACAGGGAGCCACCAGTACACTGCCATAACATACACACTGACAAACACATACAATGAACTGACACGGAAGGGAAGAAACACTGAGACTAAATAGACAAGGGGTAATCAAACACAGGTGAGACTAATGACACAGGTGAAGACAATGAGGGCAATCACAATGAAAATGGAAATGTGACTTGTGGTTTCCCATTAAGGGGTTGGTGGTGGCTCCTGAGATGATTGAGTGCTGAATACAACCCTGTCGGAGCGTCTTTGGAACCAGCTGTTGGGGTCAATTTCAAAATGAGCTTTGTCTTTTCACAAGAGCAATGACATTTCAACAT